TAAAATCTTCCAAAGAAACTATTCTTCAACGTTAATGCTGTCACAATGAACAAGGAAATAAAAAAGGAACATGATTGTGATGAAAACTGGACTGAAATTGAAAAAGCTATTGAAAAGGTTGTTAGTTTTATGGAAAAAAACCAGCATTCAGCTGTGACGATTGCAATAACGCACGCAGAGTTAAAAAGTGTCTTTCGTTTAAAAAATTTCAAGAACAAAAGCAAAACGAAATGCGGAAAAAATCATCCTACAACAGCGATTAAAAAATCCTCGTTACATTATTTGTTTTGCATACGTGGCATACTTAATTTAATGAATTTTCATTAACATTAAATAATTTATTTCTTTTTCCTTAAAACCAATTCCGTTATATTTCACTCACCAATAGCTTATTTTGTATACTATAAAACATTGAAAATAAATGTTAAACCTGATTTCAGTTCTTTTATTTTAGTCTAAATATAACCCCTCATATTTTTAACCAATTCCTCATATCTGGAAGGCCTTCTTAGTCCGGTTGTCAGAGATTCTACTGTAATGTGAGAGGAAATGGTAATTCTAATCGTAATTACAGCCGTTTCCTTATAAGGAAGCATTGGTCAATCATTGACCGATCAGTCATTACTACTTTCGGTTGAAATTTATAAAATCTATTTACACTATTCACATTGTCCAGGTTATTGTCCTCATCTTTATTTATCAGTTATCTCCCTTTAATAACGCAATTCTCCAAGTTTTTGTTCAGCTCTGCTGCAGCCAGGGATTGAACTCACAACTTTTTCGGTGAAGTCACTGGATTACTTCAGTCAACGTTTTTATCCACTAGTCCATGTGTCCGCAAAGATTTTGTTCAGCTCTGCTGTTGCCAGGCCACAGTAGAAGTGAACAAAAACTTCGAGAGTTGAGTAACTGAAGGGAGATAACTCAAACTGAAATATCAGAAAAAGTATGGCACATAGAACCTAGAATAATCTACCACTGTGGACGGAATAAAGGTTTCGGTTCGAAATTCCAACGTATATCACTTGAAGAAGGCCAGAGCGAACAACGGCCGAAACGTCGTGAATAACTATGAGGACAATAGTCCGAACAATTTAAGTAGTGTAAATAGCTACAATACCTCAGCTCAGAAATATAGACAGATATTTATAAAATATTTCTATTAAAACATCTTTTTTGGAAAAATAAGTTTCTCAAGTCCAATAACTGTTATCGCTCTTTCTAGTACTGATGGGGGCTTCCTTCCTAATATTTGACTTTCGGTATTGTAGAACATCGGCATCTTGGTCATGTCATTATTTTCTCTTCGACTTACACTGTTCCAGGTGCGGCCCGTGCGCCGCGGATTGGACGGCGATGCGCAGCGGCTGTCCCGTCGATTCCGCGCACCTCCCGCCATGTGACATCCTTTTAGTTGTTGCTGTCCTTGAAAGTCCTCATATGTGTGCTGTAGCATACCTACGAACGATAATGTGTATACTCACATTCACATAAATACAGTAGTAAATGCTGTATGTTGGTCTGCAGTTGGAGATTCGTCTCCAGCTGTACTGATCTAATTCTCTGCCTCCGGGCAAAGGGGATCCTCAGATGAGGCTCTGTCGAAGGGCAGAGACTCGTCTCAGGAAACAGCTACCCAACGCCGTTTTATATGGGTTCTGCGGGGAATTAAATTCGGCCTTGTACCACATCTGACAGCATGGAGCGGTTGGTAGATATCCTGCAGTTGGAGATTCATTGTGAAATTCACTTGACTCACTGCTAGTGGTTGACTACTTCTTCTACGCGCCGCTGGCGAATCTTATATGTGTTGTTCTTGTCCTGAGTATTATCGTTCATTACCAACCTTCGTGGGATTATTCTATTCAGTAAATTTCTCTAGGTTACAACAATGTGTTTTTTGTTATTTGGTACAGTTCTTTGTTTATGATTCTGTAGCGCCAGTTCACAAGCTTTGAATAAGAATGGTCCTTGCTAGGAGTTACAGGCTTTATCCGCTCGAAGCCATTTTTAACCATTCATCTAAGACAGTGATTGTATGTGTTATACCGGAACATACCTATTCTATTGTTAATAGACTCTCCCACAGATAATAAGTAGTAGTAGTAGCAGTCGCCGAGGCCCAGTGGAGTTGATCGAGTCGGACATTAAAGTATCAAACATCACAACTAGATTGCTGCGTCATTAACTATTATTTCAAGTTCCTAACGTCGAACCTAATTTAGGACCAACTTAGTGAAATACAAGCCTCCACTGTGAAAACCACTCTACAACAGTATGAAAGCTGACAGTTTAGATATTTTCAAAAGAGACCGACGCTATGCGTGACATCTGTACTCAAGGCTCGATGTGACGAGGCTATTTAAGTAGACGCCTCCAGTTTTAAGGTTAATTATAGTTTGAAAAATAGAAAAGAAGAAGGTACTACAGAGCAAGAAGAAATGGAATAGAGGAGCGACACCATCAGACCGTGAATTTCACTCTCTTCATAAGCTTCAAAGTGTCCTTCAGTGAACGCTTTCTTCAGTCTCTACCAAACCCTTCTCCGCTAAACTTTGATATCACGTCTCTCCCCCGGTGGAATGTCGCTTACCTCGTGGTGAAACTGAAACGGTAAACAACTGAACGAGTCCCAGTAGTGAAGTTAGTAATGGACCATGGCACGGTTTTCTGCTCGGAACACCTCTAGGTGATTCTTTCACGGTCTGATAGTGCCTCACCTCTATTCCGTTTCCCCCTGGACTGTAAGATGCTCTTTAGTACGTTCTTATTTTCCATTTTTCAAACTATATTAATGTTTTGACTTTGTAGCAACTTGCAATGTTGGGTAAAATTACCTTTAGTTCACAGTGTATTCTATGTTCAATTTCCTTAACTCCAACACTGAACTGCTCAATAGACAGAGTTATCTGATGTGTTTACTATTTACGAATTCCACATCCTGATTTTTTTTTAATGATAGATTCAGGCTAGGTGTTTTCATTCCAATTCCGGTTTTGGAAAAGTTTATCTTGAGTTTTATTTCTTTGGTGAAAATAAAGGAACTATGAACAAATTAAGGAGCAAAATCGGAAAAATAATAAACGAACCTCAAGCGATTATGCGAACAAGTATAACAGAATGAATGACGTGAGAGAGACATAAACTCGATTTCTAATTAGAATCATTTGATAAGAAATGGCGGTAAAATGACCACGTGATTTACGTAAGTGATTAATTGGCACAAAACACGTTTCTTTGCCAGTCCTCGTGGTCCAGATAGACACAATCAATACATACAAAGAACAGTCTATGAAATTGATTTCTAACTTCACAAGTATACCCTTGACCTGTCTTCAATTAGTTACCGTATTTACTATGGCATAAATCGTGCCGTTGAATAATGAGCAAACATCTTTCAAAAGGAAAATTGGTGAAGATTCACTAAAACCAAGGTCTGTAATTCTGTCGTGAAATCTACTTATCCGGTTTAGCTTCTCTGCTCCTAATGGAAATGATCTTCATCTCTTTGGGAAATTTTTCGTTTTCGAAAAAAAAAAATCTATCTTTAAAATAATACCTAGTAAAGTATTTCGAAAATGGAGGTTCAGTTTACAATGTAAGTTAAACTGAACTCTGAATTTTATGTCAGACTTCATGCGACTATTTATATAAGTGTAATGTGCAGAAGTTGGGATATTCATATCATCACCTTCTCTTTATATTTTGATTAGGAACGCTTGTTCGCAAAACATCGCAACCACAACGGTTATTTTTAAAATAATTATAGCAGAGCGTGTTTATAAAATCACTATCACAATGATTGCAGTCTTCGTAATTCAACACTGAGGATGATCTCAGAAGAGATCGAAAGTAATTGGGTTAACAAAAATACGACGCTTTCATTGATGAATTTCAACTAAACATCAAGAAGATAATTAAAGAACTAGAAAGTGTCTATATTATTTAAAGAAACATACTTGAATAAACATATGCTGCCTATATATATACTTTGAATAAACATATGCTTCCTATACTATACTATATATATACTTTGAATAAACATATGCTGCCTATATATATTTTTTCTTGATTATATATATATATTAAGAAATGGACAAAGTCCGACAATTTATTTATTAAAGACATTTTTATGTTTAACGTTCATTTTTATAGATACAAGTATTTAAATAAATGCTCTGTTTATAATAAACAGTATTAAATAACATTTACCAGCCTGAATGTCCGAGAAATTTTCAAAGGACGAATATTTTCTATGAAAATTTCTCGGATATTCAGGCCAGTAAATGTTATTTAATACTGTTTATTATAAACAGAGCATTTACTTAAATACTTGTATCTATAAAAAAGAACGTTAAACATAAAAATGTCTTTAATAAATATATATATATATATATATATATATATATATATATATATATATATATATATATATAAAGAAAGAACAGTAAGATATATTATCCAGTGTTCTTATAGATATTTTTATTTTTACAAAATAGTGCTCAATGTAAATTTACAGAGCATTAATATTATAAATTAATTGATTTAAAATATGTTTTTTGTTATTACAAGTTCTAACCATGTTTCAAAAATTTTTGAAACATGGTTAGAACTGTGTAGCGGAAAAAACATATTTTATATATATATATATATATATATATATATATATATATATATATATATATATATATATATATATATATATAAATTCCATGTCGGTAATAATTTATTAGCAAGGTCGAATTAATGTTTTATACTGTAGACGCATCCTCTGTAACAAAATAGTATAGCACGCCAGGCTATGTTATGGTCCCGTGTAGGAAACAGGTTCGATTCCTGTTGGAGGATACATATTTTCTATGAAATTTCTCGAACATCCAGGCCGATAACTGTTTCTAATACCGTTTATTATTAACAGAGCACTTACTTAAATAATTGTATTCAGAAAAATAATGCACAAACAGAAAATATATTAACATAATTGTCGGACTTATTTCATTTCATGATAGATAGATAGATAGATAGATAGATAGATAGATAACCAGAGATTCTATAACACGTGTATAGATAGATAGATAGATAGATAGATAGATAGATCTATAACAGGCATAGATAGATAGATAGATAGATAGATAGATAGATAGATAGATAGATAGATAGATCTATAACTGGCATAGATAGATAGATAGATAGATAGATAGATAGATAGATAGATATGAGTAAAAGTTTGTCACTTAGTTGATTGATGTTGTTTGTCTTCAGCATCCCTCATCCTTCACTATTTCATTCTCCTCATCGTCTCCTTCTCATTTCCAAATTCCTTGCCGTTTAATGTTATTGCGTAGGTTTCTCAGCCACAAAGTGTAACTAATTCCCGTTCAGAAATGTCGAGAATCAGGCAGGTATTAAAGCCTGATTCTAGCTAGAAAAGTACGGCGCTCCTACAGACAGACAGGCAGAACAATGATATAGATTTTTCTTCCCTCTTCTCTCCAACTATTTGCTATCTCGCACTATTATTTTTCTTTTTCGTTCTGCTATTTCACTACTTTCATACATATTTGCCCACAGAAACGATGTCCTCACGTTCTCACCTACCGTTAATCACGCACATTTAATTAAAAAAAGAAATGAAAAAAACGAAAATGTAAAAATGAACAGTGAACCGATTCGGAGTGAAGATTGGTTTGTTCCGAAGACGCAACATGAAGAGCCTTTCTTTCAGTTTTTTTTTTTTTAAAGCAAAAGCGTCTTTGTTTCTTCAACGAGGAAATCAAAGTGAGCAAAACGGAACCGGAAGTTAGCTGATGCGCCATCATTTTATTCAAGATGGTTTCATTTCACCCTGACAATTTTCATCGTTTTTAATTTATTTTTTTAGGTTCTGTTTAAATGATCGTTATTAGTCGAGGATAGAAGAACATTTATCGAAAAAATAATTCAACATTATTAATTCTATTGTTTAAGTTCTGTTGTATACACATTTCTTTCCGGGTCCCAACCAGAGATCTAAGGTCAGAAATGATTTCATGATATCTTCCACTAAAAAAAAAGAAAAAAAAAAGAAAGAAAGAAAACCTAAGATAACACCAGACACATTTTACATAAATAAACCTTTTCCTTGTGTGTTTGTGTGAGCTGTACTTATGAGTACAATTTATTTGTATTTTTTAAGGCAAGGGTTACCAGGGATCACTTCAATGACACTATCGGAACCTTTTCCAATCAAACTAAAAGCTCCAACTATAACCAGAATTATTGATGTCCCCATGTGCCACCTTTTTTAGATTTCTACTTCAAGATCCTTGGATTTTTATAGTTTTTTGAAGAATTTCAAAGGTACATTAAAGTCTGCAGGGACTGCCATAATAAATAAGGAGGCACATTCTGTTTTTGTGGTCTTTGATCACGATGTACGGTTACCTTTGATTGTTCTGTCTGTGAGTATTGTAATGTTCCATAAAATTGTTACAGCTCCTATGTCCGTAACCGGGTCTAGATGGTGTTCATATTATTTTTTTTTTGCTGTTTTCCCTTTCGTAAAAGTTGCAGATTTCCAATGAAGATATTTGCCCACTCTGTCATGCAGTGCTTTATATTCAGTAGATGACAATACCGTGAAACCTGATACAAGATGGTAAATTGTTCCTGGGTATTTATCACAAAATCTGCATTTTGGGCCAACACAATTATTCACATGTGTGCTTGGTAATTTTTGTTAACAAGCATTGGTCCTGTGCAGCAAGAATAAAACCTTCGGTTTCAGCTTTTAATCCTGCACTACGTTGTCACTGATGGGTTGAGGGTTTGTCTACACCAACTTCTTAAGTACGGGCAAACTATTGACCATGAAGAAGCTTATCTTGCCATGGTTTTTGTATCTGGTCCACTGCATTTTGCTTTCTTTTTTACGGGTTTTGCCGCTGCAGTAGGTGTATTTACTTGCATTTCTTCACCCACTTGAAATTCCATTTTGAATTTGTTTGCTTCCTTTATTATTGAATTCTTAACTCTTTCATGTTCTTTGACACAGATCATCATCTAGTCATCTGTAGTTTCCAGGTATCTTTGAAGGCCGATTGTTATAGTTTTGTAAGACAGTTCTAGTTGAACTAATCCTCTGCCTCCTCCAGATCTGGACACATACAGACGATCAACATCAACCCCAATCATTTCCCAAATGTCTATTTTTTTACAGCCTCTCCTCCAGAGTTCTTAAGTATTTATTGTGATGTCCCAGTTTTGATAGGCACTGTTTGAACCGAGATATTCCAACAACTTCGTCAGTTCCCACGTTAGAACCTTTTTTTTCATATTTTTACTGTCGTTTAATTTCAAACCGTGATCCGATAAAACGAACGTGTTTTTTTTTTTACATTATTTACATTATTCGGACTGTTATCCTCATCTTCATTGCTATATTCACAACACTTCACCCGTTATACAGTCCAACCTTCTTCAGGTGATTGGAATTTCGAGTCGAACACTTTATTTGTCCACCAGGGTAGATTGTTCTAGCTCCACATGCCATGCCTCTTCCGGGTGTCTCAGTTATTTCCCTTTCCAAGTTTTTGGTTCACCATTGCTGTAGCCTGTGAGTTCAATGCCAATTAATGGTCTCACATTAACATATTCCTTCGATATGCACAACTTGTAAGAGGCGATAAAAGGACGCTGACTTACATTAACTGGAGGCAAAATTCCACGTCGCACCTTATGGTGTGGGTAGCCCTGTAGATCATTTTGCTTTTTACGTATGATTTCTCATCACGGATTCCTGAATGTTTGAAGAGCCTAAGAAATCCGAAAACAATTCTAGCTTAGGAACTGAAGTTCCTTTCCTCAGACAGAATCGCCCTACTTAAAGGAATTAGAAACACAACATTTGTATTTTTTGTTTTACCGTGGCATAAATTTATTCTCATCTGTAATAACATATTTGTTTTCCATTGTAGATATCTTCTACGTAACCACAGTAATACTTCATACCTCAAATTTTAAATTCTTATTACTTATGTGTTAACTCCGATTCAAACAACATGTATGATTTGCGAGAGGCAGCAAAAGTACGATCAATTTCATCACTACATAATTCTACCTTCCACCTTAAGGAGTCTGGGGAGACTCCGTGTCGTGAGAGAGTATTTGGCCTTAAACTCACACTTGACATCAAGTGGAACACGTACATACGATCCATGGCCAAAGATGTAAGAAAAATAGTTGGCTCCCTGTACCGATCCAGTAAGTACCTGACTCCTCATGCTATCCTCTACCTTTACAAGAGCCAGATCTCTATCTATAAAAGGCAGGATGTGTGTGTGTGTGTGTGTGTGTGTGTGTGTGTGTGTGTGTGTGTGTGTGTGTGTAACGAATGCACGGCCGCAATTTTCGACGCATTTGCACCAAAATTTACATGCACATGCTCCAAGTTAGCAGGAAGGCCAAGACCGACTTCGCATTTCCCAACTCCCATCGATAGTGGAAATAATCGATTTTTTCATGCTTCTACGGCAGTTTTCATGTAGTTTGTGGCCATTTTCTACTGGCCAGAGTGAGAGCCTATAGCTGGCTGCCACGAATAGACAGGAAGATTCTATTGGCCAGAGTGAGAGCCAACAGCTGACTGACAAGAATGTTAACTAGCAAAAAAAATCGATAGCTGCATTCATCACAGGTGGGAAACATTTTAATCAGCATGGCACTTTACTCCAATTGGCTCATTCGCTTGCTTAAACTCAACGTTGATTCTGATTGCGCAGAACTGGGTTGGGTGTGAAAAAGTATTTGTTGTTAACATTCTTTTTTCATTCGGTTTTTCCAGTTACGAGTCCTTTTTTAAAGCTGATCGTTTTGTGTTCATTTTGTTTAGTTCTTTTTTTCGTAACAGATTTAATGTTTAGTATAGAGCTTAGGAAAAATTCGCAGTATGATGTAGCAACATCAGCACGGCAAAGGGCACTCCTTTAAAGGCAAGGAAGGGCAAAAATATTTTAAGTCAAGTGATAGCTGAATCAAGCACGGGCAACGCCGGGCCATGCTGCTATCCAGGCCTAAAATTGAGTCAGTCATTTATGTGCCATGCGTGATACATGCTTAGGCGATCATGTATCTTTCGATACATGACTGACGAGGCAGATTTTTTTGTGCAGTAGGTTGCCATTTCTAGGCCAGATGCCATCCAAGGCTATAGAACCCGGTCTGTCCTGCTATTTACATAGTTGGGAGGGGAGAAAACGAGGATTCATACATTTCCCAAGGGTATTAGCACGTAAATGAATGCAATGGATTCGACTAGAATTCGAACTCTGCTCTTCTATTCCTCAATCCGAACCGATATCCATTACTCCACCGTTCCTCTTCTGCCCAGTCTTATCTTCCTCACCATATAAACTTCCTCTTAATGTAACCCTCCATCTCAACAAGCTCAAGGTCCTTATACAGAGTGAACCTCACAGTAAAAATAGCCTTTGTCAACGATTTAGCTATTTACATAGGAATTCTCATCATAGAATGCTACGAATTCTAAAGAGGTCCGAAAAAGTTATTAGCAATTGGGTATCCTTTCCCCAAATAGCACATTTCCACAGCGATAAGCTCGTATATCGCATCAGCTGTTATGCAGAATAAATTCTGTGATTATGAGTACCAAATTTCCCAATAAACATATTTCATATTTCCTCTGTGATAATCTACCAAAGATTATGAACCCAATCTGTGAAAGACGAATGCGATTTAGTGACCATTGCTAGAGATATAAACTAGCAGTGTTGCGTCAGCTTACACCATAGGAACTAAATATGGGAAATGATCAAAGGGTACACCAGTAAGACCAATCATCGATCAATTCATAGATGACAACTGAATGGAAAGAACAGGATAGAAATATGGTAATAATAATGGTAATATTAGCCGTTTCCCTATAAGGAAACATTTGGCCTTCATTGACTGATCAGCTAGTACTGCTGTCGATTGAAATTCATAGAATCTTTCTCTTCAAATAATTTTTAACGAAAACTTTTTTCTCAAGTCTAGTAGCTGCTATCTCTCTTTCTAGTACTGACGTGGGTTTCCTTCCTAATCTTTTAGTTGAAGTGGCGTGAAAAAATGTAAATAGTGTAAATAATACTTAAATTAGATTAATTTTATTATATTAAATTAATGA